TTTTTTTTTTTTTTTAATTCAAGTTAGTTGACATACCGTGTAGTCTTGGCTTCAGGAGTAGAACCCAGTGATTTATCTCTTACATATGACACCCATGTCATATCTCTTACATATGACGTCCTCCTTAATGCCCGTCACCCCTTTAATGCCCGTCACCCCCCTCCAGCAACCCTCAGTATGTTCTCTGTATTTAAGAGTATTTTATGGTCGTGAACTTTGAAACATAACCACAAGACTTTGAAGCCAGGTGAAGCTTTTGTTGAGCCTTTGCCTATGGCCTCAGGCTCTGGGGAGGCCCCTGTTGACCAGGCAGCACTGCTGGAGGTTAAGAAACCCTGCAGTTTCCTTGTGCCTGGGTGGCTCATTGGGTTAAGCATCTGACTCTTGATTTCAGCTCAGGTCATGATCCCACAGTTTGTGAGATTGAGCCCACCTACCCCTCCCCCCGCCCCTGCCGCTATCCTGTGCACTCTCTCTCTTTCTAAATAAATAAATAAACTTAAAAAAAAAAAAAAAGAACCCCTGCAGTGTGCATCCAGTTCTAAGAAACCTCGTCCAGTACTGCAGTATTCTCCCCAGAACTGCTTGGCACATACCATGCATTAGGAGAGCAATGGGAGTTTGTTGAATGACTAAACCTATCATTTCTGTAAATGCTTAAATCAGGGTTGGTGGGCTGGTAAGAAAGACACTTACCCTGCATCCAAATCTGACTCTTGTTTGCTTAGTTTGATGTTAGAGAGAAAAGCTGTAATCCTGTGGCTTCTTGGGAAATGCTAATTGAATTACTCAAGTCACATTTCAGCCCTCACAGAAAATTAAATATCTTCAGAACAGCGTGGTCCTTCATTCTGAAACTCTTGTGTCTTAAGCACCTTTCTCCCATCTTTGGAAGTCCTTTTCAGAGTTCCTCCGTGTGACAGTAATGAGTGCTAGAAAAATGCTCAGATGGATGGAATTACAGGCACAAAAGCCCTGTTGAGAGGCACAGGAAAAGCCTCTTCCTTTTTGATATTTATTATAGACGTGATAGAAGGAGAGCCAGGCTGTTCAGTGAATGCAGGTGGAGCTGTTGAGACCACTTAGAGAAGACTGGGGGAGGGGATCAAATATGTGCTGGAAATGGGTGGAGGTTATTCTTCGGTACCTCAAAATCTTTTCAGAAGCCAGCACCTTCTCCTTTCATGCCAGCTGGAAATTGGGTCCCCCTTTACATAGAAAGCTCTTCAATTAAAACTTAGGTGTGAAAAGTACAAGTTGCGGAGTGAGGTGGTACCTTGGGAGAGACCAAGCTGTCTGGACTCGAGGCAGGAAGGTGACAGGACCCAGAACCGAATTGGCAACTACAGGGGGAAGGGCAGAGAGCCTTGGTCCAGAGCCCCAAGAAGATGCTGGCAGGAGGGGCTCCCAGAGCAGACTCCAGGCTTGGGGCCTGAGGCCTGAGAACAAGGTCTAGCTTTACACTGGACTCATCTTTGAAAAAGCAGGAGCTATGACTTGAGGCTATTCCAGTTGTGACTGTGAAACCCCATCCCTGCTCCTTTTTCTAGATGCAGCTGCCATTGTTATGGGGACAAGGACAGATGTGTACCATCTGTAACCTCTCAGGCAAAGTGAGGGCAATTCACTAGGTAAAGTAGCTAGGCGTTTTTACTAGTGCCAAGTTTGTGCTTTTTGAGTAAACAGCATGCTTTTCTTGATGCATCCTGACCATAAGCCCAGAGTTCCTTAGGACCTCAGAAGCATATCTGCTGGAATAGCAGGTGTCCTGAAGAAGGCAGATTCTTGGGTTATTCTTCACTTCCAGTGGACTCTGCATATGGGCTTGCTGGAAAATCTCTGAACTATCACATTACTGAACTGCTTATTAGGGCTGAGGTGCTTCACATCCACAGTGCCTGTTCTCCATATAGCCAAGTGACTCCAAACCCAGTGATGGCACTAGTCACTACTCATCCTGCACCCAGGCAGACATTAAAAATGGATCACAGTCGCCACTGAGCATGGCCTCATGTAATTCTTTCCTGGTGTTCCAGAGAGCTGTACTAATTGATTAGAATAAGCACTTGAAATCAAACCCATTTTCCATCCCTACTCTAATTTTTTAAGGTTGCCATGCCACAGTTCAAAGTTGAAATGCACCAAATAAATGGGACGAGACCAAAGCTGCTGTTTAGTGGGAACACGTGAAGAAAGATGCCTTTCCAAGTTAAGCATCCTGGGACTGGCCCAATAATCGGTGGCAGGGGCAGCTGCAGAGGCTGTACACATAGGGAGGGTACTGAGGCCTCAAAGCTGTGGCCACTGCAACATTTGGTAAACTGATCGACAGGCTGTTCTCAGAAACAGCTAGTGTAGCTGGTCAGGTTCTCACTCAGCTGGCCTCACTGAGCAACTAGCCTATTGTCTATTATAGTTGGTAGATCCCAGCTCCACATGTGAGAGCTTAGGCCCTCTCAGGCCATCGCTAAAGGATAGCCAAGTATTCCTAGCTCCCAAGGAAAAGGGGAGTCACACTCCCTCTGGCCAGAGCTCCTGTCTGGCCCTGAAGCTGTGGTTGGCATGAATCCCAAGCCCTGGGAAGTCCCTGATGGGAGCAAGAGAGGGAAAGAATCAGGACCACAGACCTCACAGGCACCAGGCCTGACTGTATCAGGCTTATGAAGCTGTTTCTTTTACTAGCTCTTTCTAAAGCAGCAGAACCAGACCTCATTTTCTGAAATATTCCTATCTGGATTTTTTATTTGAGGGCTTCTTTGTTTTCCTCAATTGGCAAGACTTTGGGAAATGTGTAGCTACATCCCCTGTGGTCATTGCTGTGCTAAGCAGGTGCCTTGAAACTGGCAACCATCTCAGTGTGAAGGGGGAAGCTAGTAAAACCTTTCCCTGTGATTTGGAATGGCCATGGTGAGAGGAGCCCCATGGGCAGGCCTTCCAGAGGCCTGTAGTGTGAGCCACAGCAGGCCAGTGCCCACCCTTAAAGACAGGAAGTGCTTCTTTATTACTCATTCCTCATAACTGTTGTATCTGTATTTCCTGTCTGAGATTCTTCTGTTCCCTAGTACCAGAAACCCGCCAGAGCTTATTTGAGAAAAGAAAAAAGGCAAGGTGTTGCCAGTTATTGTAAAGATAGAGAGATGTATTTATCAAGATAGGCTAAGCCACGCTCTGGTAACAATTAAATCATAAAATCTCAGTGGCATAACACAGCTAAAGAGGCTTTTTTCTGCCGCAAAGTCCAGGGTGCTCCAAGTTGGTTCTGGTGACTCCAGAATCCCAGTGCTGCCATCTTGTGGTTCTGTCATGTCAACATCAGTCACCACCTCATTTCTCAGATTATCTCTCTGCAGACAGGCATTGTTTTACCTTGCTTGGCTATCCACAGACCTCTCATTTACATAACTAGGGGCATCATGGGTCAATCTCAGATGTCAAGGAGGCAAAAACTCTAAGTGGCTCAGCTATAGCATCCACCCACTTCTAATCGATTCTGGCTAGGAATGTCGGTTGGGGCAGTCAGAGCCAGCTGTAGCATTGGCAGGGCCCAGTGCAAAGTGAAAATGCAGGCCCCCTTGTTCAAAAAAGCAGGAAAAGGGCTTCCTTCTTTTTTCTATGGTTTCCCTCTCCACCTGCTATGGGGGCTTTTTATTCGCTATTTAGTGTTATACTCTTCAGGGTGGGATGCTCACAGCACAAGAACAGGCCCTCAGAAGCACAGGAGACCCCACTCTGTGACTAAGGTATGCAGGGCACATGTCCAGTCCTAGCCTCCACACTCACCCTTGGGCCCCCACCAGTGTGGAAGGTGGCAGCCATCACTGACTGGGCGGGGAGCGGGGCAGACACATCAGAAGCAAGAATAGAAACAGAAAAACAGGAGCAGGCAACAGAGAAAAATTGTCCTAGGGAGGCCAGAGGCAGTGGGCAACAGGAAGGTGGTGGGAGACAGGACCACATATGAACCAAGGCTCCAAGTCCCCAGACATGCTCCATTATCCCATGGGACCAGCCCTGCATACCGTGCTAACATGAACTTGGCTGTCTACGTGTATTTTCAGGGGTTCTGTTATTCAAGAAGAGAAGAGTCAAGAGGTGAGAAAACGTCCTGCAAAATAGTTTTCTAAAGGCCCAGTTGGCACATATTTGATGTTTGACATCATTATAATAACACATATTTAGAGCTTCCTCCAGGTACAAGGGGCCCTTGGGCAGCTCTGTTGACATCCTGAGAGGGGACTGAGATAGAGGCTTACCATCGCTATAGCTATGCTTCTGAGCTCTTTGGAAGTATTTGTCATCCTCTCTCTTCTGAAATTCTCTTCTCCATTAATTTCAGGGCTCAGGACTTCCTGGATTCCCTCCACATCTTCAGTTTCACTCTCTTTCCTGATACCTTGTCTCTCACCTGCCTTCCTCCAGATGTGGTGTGCTTTCACCTCTCTTTCCATCCCCAAATGTGGCTTGGACATTTTAATCTTGCCTCCATACTAATAACTCTCAACCTTTCTGAGGTTAGGGACCCCTTTAAGGGTTCATTGATAGTGACTGATTGTTTTCCCAGAAAAGTTTCCCCTCAGGTCTGGAGTACCCCGGACCATCTGCTTCCCAATCACCTGCATGTAGTGCTTGGTAAAACTGTGTGCTCCTGGGCCTCACTCTAAATCCAAACTGAAATAGAATCTCCAGCTAGGGTCTGGGTATCTGCATTGTAACAGGCATTTTAGGCGATTCTATGGACTCAAATGACTAAGAACTGTAGCCATAGGTGTCAAGGAACTTCAGGTCAATATCAGGAAACCCTAATCTAAACATTTCACCACACTGACACTCTTAGTCATGACAGAAGTGTCCTAAACATACAGCTCTAGGCAGGACCTCTCTCCACTACTACTGCTACATAGAAATGGTTATTGGACTGTCCTGAGAACTCTTGAAACCTACAATATACAGTCAATTATTGATTGTTTACCTTTTTTCTACCAATCTGCACCTCTGAATTTGGCTCCATCTATAGTCAGGAATTATGATTGGTTTCTTCTGACATCTGTCAACTGTTCACATCACCCCCCCTTATGCGTGTATACATGATGTGCCAGCTGGTGGTAAAGTCATGTAGCCACAGGCTACACTGACCCTAGAAAATATGGTGCCATTTTCAGCAAATCATTTTTGCCCCAAGTAGGACAGTGTGTATTGAAAGCATGCATTCAACACTTACCCTTCCAAGAGCCCTTGTGTCTATCAAATAACCTCTTTCCATCAATATCCTAGGCTTCCAGTCATCTGAGAGTCCCTTCTCATTTGCTTCCTACCCAATCAGACATGGAGCCCTGCTCATTATTCTGAAAAAACTCTTGAATTTTTAGTTTTCTATACAGCTCTACAGTTACCAACTGCGTTTGTCCACAACCTTGCCCCTAATTTTAACTACAAAGATCCTCTGGGTATTTTCTCCCCACCCCACCTCTCTTTCTCTCTCATCTTGTTCCCTAGTTATACTCAACTTCCATCTACAGAGAGGAGCTCAAAAACACACTGATTTCACGGCATCATTCACCACTTAAGATCTACCATAGCTCCCCATTGCCTTGCAGATAGCACCTATACCTTTCTGCTTGGCATTCAAATGCTGCTGCCCTACATCCACCCCACCAAGTACTTACTCAGCCTCATCTCTACACATGGTGGGTTGGCCTATCTTCCTCCTTTCTCTCACCCTGCATCATTCAAGTTCCCACCCCTGTGCCTTTGCTCTTGCTGGCCCCCTACATGGGATGCCCAGCCCTCACCCCCACGGCCATGTCATGCCCATTGTTTCTTCAGTGTCACAGCTCAAGGCTCACTGTCTCTGGAGGCCTCAGATCACCACGTGTCCAGGCTGCTCAGTACTCCTTTGAGGGGTTCCTTCTCTGAAACTCCCTCACTCATATTTCATTGTGATTTCAAAGTGTCTGCCTTTCCCAGCTGGATTGTAAACACAGCAGACATAGGGACCAAGATTTCTGCTTCTTGGTTGATTTTAGCGCACACAGTAAGTGCTTAGTAAATGGTGGTCTTCTGCAAAGTCACGGACTTTGATTTATAGAAAGACCTTTCCACTTCAATATGGGTATTCACTGTATGTGTTCTGGAGAAAAAAAAGACCTCAACTGCTGATGGCATAAGCTCACCAGCTTGTCTGAGTGCTTAAATAAAATAATTGACAATAAGACTCTCCTATTTGTTTGGTTAGATTATGTATAAATGGTTCATCTGAGCCCCTTAGGTCCTAGGGTAATTACACGTTAAGCAAGGTGTTTGTTACCTGATCTGGGCACTCAGTTGTTCTCAGGCTATTTCATGTAACAGAAAGAGACCTGAGAACCAGCTTCTGCTCTCAATCACCCTTGGGGGGCCTGGAGGAGACAAGCTGGCTGGGTGAGAGCTCTTGGAACTGCTTTCTTGTAACAGCCAGATCTCAGCCCTGCAATGACAACATGACCATTTGCTGACACTTACCTGTGCCAGGCTGTACTAGTGCCCTTCTGTGTTGCTACCAAACCTCATTTAATTAAGTTGGTTGCTTGAGAGATGACTGATTTATGAATCTGTGGTGAGGCCCACTCAGAAATTATTCTTGGTCCATTGAAACTTAAGCAGAAGTGGTTTTTATCAGCAAATGCTGAATTGCTTTTAAGGATCTTTTGGGCAAATATGCTGGGTTCTAAGTTTATTTGTTTTGAGAGAAACAGAGACAGGGTGAGTTGGGGAGGGGCAGAGAGAGGGAGAGAGAGAAATCCCAAGCAGGTTCCGTACCATCAGCACAGAGCCCAGTGCAGGGCTCGAACTCACGAAACCATGAGATCATGACCAGAGCCAAAACCAAGCTGGATGCTTAACCGATGGAGCCACCTAGGCACCCCTATACCAAGTTCTAAATAAAAGGCATGGAGTGGTTGCTTAGGGCCAGTAGATGATTAGTACTTGTTTTTTTTGTTTGTTTTGTTTTAAATTTTTTTTAACGTTTATTTATTTTTGAGACAGAGAGAGACAGAGCATGAATGGGGGAGGGTCAGAGAGAGGGAGACACAGAATCTGAAACAGGCTCCAGGCTCTGAGCAGTCAGCACAGAGCCCGACGCGGGGCTCGAACTCACGGACTGTGAGATCATGACCTGAGCTGAAGTCAGACGCTTAACCGACTGAGCCACCCAGGCGCCCCTGATTAGTACTTGTTAAGAGAGGGAAGGTGCTCTTTGATTTTGGGGTTGTGGTGCTGACTGCACTTTCTTCCACCCATGCTTTATCATCTAAATTTCTTTTTCTGTTGTAGGACCACCTGGCCCACCAGGTAAGAACCCATGGATTTTCCTACGTCATGGGGAGGATGTGGGGGGACTAGTTCCCCAGGATCCCTCAGAAGGGACTGAGGTGGGAAGGGAGGTAGAATCTGGAGTCGGCCTTGACTATGAATGTGTCCCCCTCCTTCTTTCTACCCAAATTACCAGCTCTCCTGTCTGCTCCCACTTGAGAACCTGCCATTACCATTCCCCATCTGTCACTGCATCAGGTGGCGGCAGCACAAGTGGAAAATGAAGGGAAGAGGCAGGAGAAGATCTGGAAGAGGCATCACCTGTCCAGTTTCACTGGCTCAAGGAAACCATGTTAACCCCAGTGAAGACTTTTTTAAATGTTCTTGTTTCCCATGTTTTGACGCAGGACCTCCGGGAGTTGGTGGGTTACCAGGACACAATGGATCAGATGGACAGCCTGGTCCCCAGGGCCCAAAAGGAGAAAAAGGAGCAACTGGAAAAAGAGGAAAAATGGGTATTTTGGCAACTTTCCTAGTTAATTTTTCCTTGTTACTTGTCTCAATTATTGCGTTTTGGATGGGCCAAAGCTGGATGTAGTGGGAGGAAACTGTTACATCTTTGCATGCAGAACTGGTTTAATTCTTGCCTGGAAACTATGAGCTGAGGTGCCAAGAGCATTCTTTTTAGTGCATCCCTAACAAAGGTTTATATCCAACTGGAGAGCAGCCTCCCTGGGAACTGACTCCCGCTCTTCTGCCTGCTCTGATGCAGACTGACAGATGCCAGGGGCAGGGGCAGCCCAGGGACACTCCCTGGGCTGTGTGATGGCTGATGGCCCACAGGGTCCAAGGCAGCTCAGTCCGCAGAAGGCCAGCCATTACAGCTTCAACTGCAGAACAGAATCGATCCTTACGTGTTGATAATAATCATAATTATAAATGAGAATCAGTGTTGAATAACGATGGCTATCAGTGTGCAGACATTTTGTTTATCCCAGAAAGGCCCCAGAAATGTAATCCAATCCTGAGGATTCAGCCCTGAGCATTCTGAGGGCCAACTATGAGGGGGAGGAGACCACCATGCTAGCATTGGGTACAGAGCAGGTGGCAAAAGAGTGATGTTCAAAAAGGTTTACAGATCCCTGGCTTTGAAGAGGCATGCTTGATATGCAGCCCACAACCCAGTGAAACCATGAAAAAAAACAAGTTCATTCATTTACATAACACCTATTTATATGGCAGGTACTATTCTAGGTGCTGGAGATCCAGAAATGAAAAAGCTGACAAGATCCTTACCTTCATGAAACTTACATTCTAGTCTGGGAAGATTGATAACAAACAAGATAAATAAGTAGACAGTATCATCTTACATGGTGCTAAGTGGTACAGAGAAAACACAGTGGCAAGGAAATTGACCGACAAGTGTGTGTATGTGGTGGGGAGGGAGGGGGGTACTGTAGATGGAGAGGCCAGGTAAGGCCTCCTTAGATGGGACCTTTAAGCAAACACCTGGAGGAAGGGAGAGAGGGAGCCATGGGGTGGCTGCGGGGGAGAGGATTCCAGCAGAGTGTGTGAGTCCGGTGTGCCCACAGGGTCTGAGGATCAGCAAGATGACCAGGGTGGCCGGACAGAGGGATACAAAGCGAATGCGGTGGAGTTGATGCCAGAGAGGTAGCGGCCAAATCAGGTTGACCCTGGGCATCTCAAGGACTGTGGTTCATACTCAGACTGAGCTGGGAGGATTTGCAGCAGTGCAGAGACCTTCCCGGATTCACTGGGAGAGGATCGCCCTGGCAGCTATGCTGATGGAGGCTACGGGAGGGGAGGGAGGAGGCACCAGTGGAGCACTGAGAGGTGCCAGAGTCTGTGTATCAGTGGACATTGGGCAAATCCTTGGTTTCCCAGAGATCCCGTGGACTCTAAACAAAGACGCAGATCCTCTCTGCAGCTGTCTCGCAGCAAGAGAGGCCTCTGGGGGTCAGCAGTGTTAGAATGAGAACACTAAGGTTGAGCAGAGAACTTGAGTCATTAAGGGCCCAGGCAGTTGTTCTCGCCCAGGGCCAGGGGAAGGGGAGACTAGCACCAGCCTAGATGTACAAACACAAGGATTATTTGATGAGCCTGGTTCTATGGAGAGGTTGTTGGAAGTACCGCTCAGCTGTGGGCCAACTCAGATTCTGACCTGGACCACCGAACTCCAGTGCAAGGTCCCAGTCATCCTGCCGGAGCCCTGAAGCTGATCTTTAGCCTGGGATGGGTTGGCATTCCTACCTGGCACTCAGTGCTCTTGCAAGGAGGAGAGACCAGCTAGCCAGGGGGCCTGCACTTTGTTCTGAGGGCATCAAGAAGCCACTGAGGGGTTGCAAGGAGGAGAGAGTGACAAGACCAGGCCTGCTTTTCTAAAACAACACCGTGGCTGCTGCATGGAGAGCACATGAGAAGAACAAGGACAGAAGTAGAGAGACAGTTCAGAAGCTACTCAGTATGTAGGTAGAGGGGACGGCAGCTCGGAGTGTGGGGAGACCAGTGTAGGTGAGTGATATCCTGCGGTGAAATCAGCAGTACCTGGTGGTGGGTGGATATAAGGAGAAAGGGGGAGGGAGACCACCAAACTGACTCTGAGATCTCTGTCCCTGATGACTGCTCTTTCCTGAGGAGGGGAGACCCGTATCAACTCAGGTTCAAGCATAACCCAGCATGGGAGGTGCTGAGATGCCTTGAAATGCCCAGGCGGAGATGTCAGGGGGCCTTGGAGATGCAGGCAGGTCTATAGTCAGAGGAGACCCTGGGTCTAGAGGTATACATAAGGGGGTCACCTGAAGTAGTGGGCATGTGCACACGGGTGCCCTCACTTTTGGAGGGAGCTAACAGGAGAGGAGGGCTTGGGTTGAGCCCTGAGAAGCAACAACATCTGAAGACCAAGCAGGAGGGGAGGAGACAGCAAAGGAGGCCAAGGACAGAACTGAGTAGCAAGAGGAATAGCAAGAGAGGGTGGGGACATCTGTCAGCAAGTATTTATTGAGCATGTTCCCAGTTCTAGAGGGGAAACACAACAGATGCAGCCCCTATTCTGGAACTTTCCATCTTTGGTGGGAAGGCAAAAAATTACCAGTCAATAATCAAATACATCTGCAGTCACAATGTGAGATGCCTATCTGAAGGAAAGAACAGAGTGTGAAGAGATAGAATACAAAGAGGGAGGGTCAGGGAAGTAAAGTCTGAGGTCAGACTTGAAGGAAGAAAGCACACAGAGGGTGGTGCACACCTACAGCACACAGCCCAACAGGTGTGGCTGGGGGAAGGGACGTGTGCAGGGAGGTGAGGCTGGAGGCAGAGATCAGGCCCTTCCAGAGCCTTCAGGTCAGTGGTCTGGGTCTCCTGGTCAGCTCCCAGGAAGGCACCACAGGGTCTCATACAGGATGTGACCCACTGGGCCAGGGTCATGACTATGGAGAAGGAAGGATTGTGATTCCAGCTGAGAGTGTGATTCCAGGATCAATAGTGGTTTGCCAGGCAGGGGTGGGAGAGAGGAGGAGTGGGTGCACATTCCAGAAAGAGGGAACAACAAGTGCTATTTCTAAAAACAGGAAAAAGAGCCTGTGTTCCACAGAGACAGGACTCAGGCTGGACCACACCCTCTAGCAGTGGTCCTCTGAACAAAGCATGCAAATAGGTAGTATTTACTGTCAGGCATGCTACCAAGTACTCTCTTCACTTACCTTAATATGGTCTTCAAAACAACCCTAAGGAGGTGAATATTTGGGTTGGCCATAATTTTTCCGGATGAAAAAGCCTTATTTTCTGTTTCTACAATAGGCCAAACCCACCCATGCCCCAGGACCTTTGCACTGCTGTGCCCACTGACTGGAATACCCTTTCCCTGCCATTCCTGCATCTAGTCCTGGTTCAGGTGTCAGCTCATGTGTCATCCTTCTTCCAGTTCATCCCTGACCTCTGTGTCTAGCCCCTGCCTCACAAACATAGTCACGTTCCCTGTTCTTTCAAAACACATATCCCTCCCCCAAAATTCCTTGCATTTTGCTTGTCAATGCACCGATGATCTGATTCCCCAGGGAGAATGTGAGGTCCATGACGGTCAAGCCATGTCTGTCTGCTTAGTCCTAACCTCCAGGGCCTGGGACACCCGGAGAAGTGGGGCAATAATGTCATTGTTGAAACGAATAGGCATAACTTGTCCAATGTCAAAAAGGTAAGAATCGGAGGAGGCAGGACCTGAAACCAGGTCTCTCTGACTCCTGGACCCTGCCTCTTAAACAGGACCACACTGAACTTCCAGGATGGAGGGGGTGGCCCCGAGTTGTGAGAGCAGCGTCACCAGAGGTACCACAGAGTGGGAGCTGTGCCGTTAATTACTGAAGGACACAGGGCTGCTCACCCCCTTGGGCCTGAGCCTAATGCCGAGTCTTACTGTGAGGGCCAGGAGGTGGCCAGTCCTTCAAAGAAGTCTGCAGGACACGTGCAAGAACATGCAGTTCAGTGCGTAATAACCTGGCAGGGAGACAGAGTTGGCTTTGTGCCTCTTATTTCCTGCCCTGCTTTCAGGCAGAGGAGTGCAGTGGAATGAGTCCCAGGAGCATCTGCCTCTGTCCTCGACTGGCTCTGAGGCCTTGGACAGGTCACTGTACCATAGGGCCTTGCCTTGGTCTCACCTGTACACTGAGGAGGGTGGGTTCCCACAAGTCCTACATGGTTTCCAGTTTTTAAACAGTCTTCTTCCGTGCTTGTCTCTGAAGGAGAGACCATGTCTTATGTATTCTATTATTTGGCACAGCTCTCTGCCAGGCCCAGGTGAGGCTCAATAAAGAATTGATGAATGAAGTATACAGGCATGCATGCATACGTGTGTGCATGAATGAGAAGAATAGAGCATAGCTTCCTCCATAATAGCTTCCCATCCAGTTGAAAGAGAGGATGTATCTTACACACGGCAGATACTCAAAAGCTGGTTGTTCGGATTTGAAGACTGCTTTCTACTGCACAGCAGGTAATACTGCCAGAAGAGAAAGCTGAACTTTCCTGCACAAACAATGGACAAATAGGGCCCTGTGTAGAAGATGGGTTGTGTAGTAGGGCTAAGTGTAAGGAACAAGAGAGAGAACTGTGATCAATATCTCAGAAGTAATTAGAGCAGAGCTGGGGAGGGCGTTGCATGGGGAGAACAGGAAGACTGAGCCCAGAGAGACTATTAGTGAGACTGCCCCTGGATGCTAGTGGGGACCCAGGCAGGATCATGTCTGCAGGAGGCAGCGGGGGGCCTCGTAGGCTCTTGAGAAGATGAAAAACCTGATGAAACCAGAGGAAAGGGATCTAGAACCACTGTTTCCAGGAGACTGAAGTAGCAGAGATAACCCTCAGATTCCGCCCTTGGCTGAACAACGATGGAATAGCATGGAGCTGATGGCATGGGCCAGGTTTGGGCCCTGGCTCTTCTACTTACTAGCTGTGTGTCCTTGGGCAAGTTGCTTAATCACTCTGTGCCAGTGTCCTCATCTGTAAAATGGGGACAATAGCAGTATCAACCTCATAATGTCATTTATAAGATTAAATGAGATATATATATGTAGTGCTTAGAACAGGGCCTGACACATACTAAGTGCTATATTAGTATTAGCTGTTGTTTCCAAAACTTGATTTTAATCCAAAAGGAAATCTAAGTTTAAATGCCAGTATTCATGTGAAAGCACTGACTGAGGTTTGGAGAGAGAGACCTAAAGGGTCTTAAATGTTGTCAATTTTGCAACTAACATCTTTGATGAAGTCTGACATTCTCTTGCCTCAAAACCAAGCATTTTCTTTTTTTCCATCTGTCTCTCACTTTCTCATTAAGAGTTAATACTGCATTGTCGTCTTGAAAAATGAAATCCTCATAAAACAGAAATAAATGCTCTCCTCTTCATCTTGGGACTGGGTTTCCTGTGACACCCTCTGGCCCCCTTGTGCCTCCCTGCCTCAGTCAGTGACAGATGGTTCTGCCAGAAATAAGCCGTCCTCCCTCACCCCCTGCCGTGAAGATGCTGGCGTTGACCCCAGGGACATCACACAACCCCAAACTCTAAAGCTGGTGAGACAGTTTGTTTTGCGTGGGCAACACTGGAGAAGAAAAATAGCAGAGAGACACTTGCAGCATGTGAGTCAGGCAAGAAGCTGGCCTCTCTTCTCTGCAGAATGTGCTGACTCAAGCCCGCCAGAAATCACGGGACGCACCATGTCAGGGGCCAGGCTACACAGTGGAACAGCATTGCTGTGCACTGCTGAGGCTGGCCAGGCTGGAAAGTGACACTCACGGCGCCTCTGATGGTGAATGCGGTTAGGTGGTGCTGTACTCCTGACGTGGCATGGCCAGGGCACGGCCAAGGTGGGACGAGAGGAAACTTTGTCGGAGGCATTGGTTGTAAGAGAAACGCTGTGTAGAGACAAAGCATCCCCCACCCTTTCAGAAGGAAAACTTAAAAAACGATCATGCACACCCAGCTAAGAATCAAAATACATTCTTTTTTAAATTTTTTAAAATAAGTTTTCTTTATTTTTGAGAGGCAGAGAGAGACAGGGTGTGTGTGGGGGAGGGGCAGAGAGAGAGAAAGACACAGAATCTGAACAGGCTCCGGGCTCCAAGCTGTCAGCACAGAGCCTGATGTGGGGCCCGAACTCACCAACCGTGAGATCATGACCTGAGCCGAAGTCAGACGCTCAACCGACTGAGCTACCCAGTCGCCCCAAATCAAAATATATTCTTAAGCAGAGGTCTTTAAGATCTTTGGTTTTGTGTACTCACCCCTGTGGGGGCAGCATTACAACAGCTGCCTTACAGTATGAATGTTTTCTTTTTTTTTTTTTTAATTTTTTTAATGTTTATTTTTGAGAGAGAGAGAGACACAGAGCATGAACGGGGGAGGGTCAGAGAGAGAGGGAGACACAGAATCCGAAGCAGGCTCCAGGCTCTGAGCACAGGCTCTGAGCCTCAGCACAGAGCCCGACGCGGGGCTCGAAACCACAGACCATGAGATCATGACCTGAGCCGAAGTCAGACACTCAACCGACTGAGCCACCCAGGCGCCCCCAGTATGAACGTTTTCCTGATTCATATGTGGCCTTTTAGAGAAGGAAAAGAAAAGACATACAAGGAAGGAATAAAGGCAAAGAAGGGGAAACTGGATGCTGATGCAGTAAGGCTCTTTGAATAAATGCCTGAAAAAGAAAACCCTGAAATAACTAGAAAATACCATTTCCCTGAGCATTGCTGAATCGGGGTCATGTGAAACCTTTAGAAGGTTATCAGTTACGCTTGGTGCAATGTGCTGGCCAGACTCTATGGCAACGTTCTAGTCTTTTGTGTCCTTCAGATAATGTGCCAAATTGCCTATTTAAAATACTGACAAAAGGACGTCTTCGTGTGCAGAGGTCACTGATTAAGGGCTCTTCTTAAGTGAGTGAACCACTTTCCAGCAAGATGTCCTAATGACTGTGGGCAGGGATGACCCAGAACCATGGGTTTTCAGAGCTGTTGTGAGAGATGCATGATGAGCCATGCCCTCCCCCCCACCCCCCAGTGGGCTTGGTTTGCCATCTGTGTGACAGAATCCATAGCAGAGCAAGTGCCCACAACTGAAGGGCTGCCCCTACTCTTGTTCACATCCTCTTCCACTGTGTTCCCAGCTCTTCACTGGGAATTGGGAGTCCCAGTGCATGATACCCACCCGACATCACCACTGGCAGAGGCAAGCAAGCCGGCGCCTCCTACTCCCTCTGCCACAGCTGAATTTCATGGCTTTCGTGCAGGTGTGGTTTTTATGGTTGGTTGAAATCCAGCAGACGTTTCTCTGCTCACTGTGTTGTCTAACAGTGATCAGTACTTTAAGGTTCTTGACCACACTGCTGTCTTCCTTGGGGCGGTCCGTAGCTGGAAGAGCAAAAACCACATTGAACATTTATCACTTCCCAGCATAAAGAAAAGGTGCCAAGAACTGCAGCCGTAGGTTTTGGGGGGATACTGCCTTTGATGGCAATGCAGAGTATTCCAGTACGATCTGTGATATGATGTGATGTAATAACTTCCCCATTGCTGACAGGACTTTTGAGAAGGGCCTATCAGATAGTGCAGAGGGGCTTTTAGGGTAGGATGGGAGGTTACTCCGAGTCACCTCTGAGGTGCCTTCCAATCCCTAATCCTCTGATCCTCTTGATACAGTTCTGTTGGGATCCTATGGGGCTGGTAGGAAGTGGGTCCAGATTTTAAAATCTGGAGGGAGGATCAATGCAAATAATGGTGCTGCTATCTGGAAACTACCTGCCAGCAGTGCATAGTAATCATATTATGCACCAAGTTTGCTTCCTTTCTCTCAGGGATCAGAATGCTGTACTCTCCATAGTCTGTGCTGAGATGGGCCATTGCATAGATTCTTACCTATTTTGAGCTGTGAGTGACAGGTCTGCAATTCCCATAGTCAGGACTCCCCAGGAACAGAGGCAGACATTTCACACACAGCATCGTGTTCACACTATCATCATCCCTCTTCATGCTTGTGCTAGAGCAACTCTACCTGTTTTGCTATTTTGATTAAAAGCATTTTGCATTGAAGTGTCACAGAAAAGGAACCAGAGATGGAATCGGAAGATCTCTGCCTGCTCACTTAGTGGCATCAGTGATAACCACTGTAAGCCTGAGTTCCAGCTTCTATGAAATGACAGTAAGGATATGTTACTAGCTCACCACTCCAGTATGTGGTGAGGAATAAACCAAGTAATGCACGTACCCTTCTAGCACCGAACAGTCCCATCTGAGTGCTCCGCTCTTCCTGCGTGGCAAACTTCTGATCAGGCCTTACCTTCCTTCTGCCCTTGCTGTGATTGTCCCTTTCTGGTCCACCCCTCTCTCTTCAACCTGTTGGCTCAGGCAAATGTCCCTAAAATATTCAGAAGAGCCACCTGGAAATACTATTTGTCAATGAATTTATAATCATGCTGCTGTCCTAAAATGGTTACAGAGTCTTCTGCATTTTGGCTACTGAAGCCACTTCATCTTAAACATACAAAGTACAATATCACAAAGTCGTGTACCAGAGTTTCTTGCGCTATAGGCTAATACATTATTTTTCCCCCCTCAGGGCCACCTGGAGCCACAGGAACTCCAGGGGAAAAGGGAGACCCTGGTGAGCTGGGTTTGACTGGAAATGAGGGCCCACCAGGGCCAAAGGGGGACAAAGGAGACAAAGGGGATGTGTCCAATGATGTGCTCCCCACAGGTAAGTGGCTGGCACTTGGGCTGTCTCCCAGGGTGATCAGGCCCACAAACCAGCCTGGTTTTTAGTACAGAGGCAGCACAGGTTTTCTCTCCTTTTCTACCTTGTGTGCCCATCTGCTTTGCAGCATGTTTTAGAGTGCTGTGCTTCCAAGAAGGAAAAAACTGTGCATGTTACCCCAAGGTTGGTGAGACCAAATCTGAGATCTCAGCATAAACAGTTTAGATAATTCAGGTCTAAACATCATGATTAGATTGAATTAGGATGACAGGAGCTTCCTTTTTCCAAATATTTATCAAGCCTAGCACAATATAGAATAAGACAAGTAAGCAAGCAATTTAAGATACCTCAGAGGACAAACTGACAGAAAGCTCAGGCATTTTCTTCACAATCGAGGTAGGATCATCTTCAGACCTTAATCCTCAGCTTTTGGATGTAGAATTGGGCAGACATGGTTGCCGATCTTCTTTTTCTGGCTTCCAGCCCAGGTTCAAAGCAGATGGATGGCATCTGGGGTGGGGTGGGGAGGTAGAGGCACAACAAACTAGAAGGACAATCACATGGTGGAAAGATTGTGGTGGTGGTGACAGCTGATGGGCATGGACGAGGAAGGGGCAGAAGAATTTTAAAAGCACAGTACTTCAGAGACATAACTATCCTATTAATGTAGTCAATAAACCTTTTTGAATATCCAAGAACACCATTTATGAATTAGAGACTTTGGTAGTAGCTGAGAATATGAATATGAAAATGAGTAAGACAGGACATCTGTCCTCAAGAAGCTAGGATGATAGATGTTCAAGAATAATGACCCTGAATCAGTCACCCATCTAGCCACTCAAAATTTGTTGAGCACTTACTCTTTGCCAGGCACTGTGCTAGGACCAAAGCATCAAGGAAAGCTCAAGTTATGTTTAGCATGCTTTGTTTCATACACAGGGAAGTTGTTATGCAAAATATATATAATTTAAGAAGTATTTTGACAGGATCGTAGATTTGTGAATAAACTTTGAAAATACGAGATCGTGTTATACTTCACTTATATGGGAATCTTCACATCCAGAACACCACACTCCCCTATACTACTGAACAAGTGAGGGGTGATGACAAACCATTCAGAAAAGCAACATCACTGAGTGTACCCCAATTCCAGAGATCAGGCAGAGCTGAGTATTCCCTGGTCAGAGAGCAGACAAGGCCTATGAGGGCAGATCATGTCTGCTCTGCCTACAGATCTCTGCCCCTTTCTAAGTGGGCTTGGACCTGCCTCTAGCCTCTGTGGCCCTGGCTTGCCCGCTCACACCAGTGACCTCAGTGGGTTATCACAGGGCAGGACAGGGAGGATGAGACTCAGTCTGGAAGTAAAGAAACAGGCTCAGAGGGTTAAGCTGCCTGCCCAAGGTCACAGGCTGGACAAGATCTCCTGATTTCTCCTACCACACAGAGCAGTGCTTCTCATACCTGGCAGCATATTAGGAGGTTTTAAAAAATACAGATGACCAATCTCCTCACCATTTTGATCTAACTGTTCTGGATGGGGTCCAAGCAGTAGAATTGTATTAGACTGACTCTAGGTGACTCTTATAAGCAGTCAGGGTTGAGATCCTTCAATGTGGCCAGTGACATGAGCTTGAGCTTTGGTGTGAGACATACCTGAGGTTAAGTTGTAGGCCTGTTCCCAGTTGTGACCGTGGGCAAAGCACTGAACTTCCCTGAGACTGAGGTCACTGAGGGGCTACTAATACTGTCTCACAGAATGGTTGGGAAGAACAATGGAGGGGGAGTTGTGTAAACTTCTTAGTGTAGTTCCTGGCACATAGTTGGAACTCAACATCTGCCATGGGTACTTTCT